TAGTTTGTAAGATCTTGAACATAAATTAGAGGAAGGGATCTTCGATTCAGCTAGGACCTAATAGTCCGATACGAAGTGAATATCCATATCCCGCTCCCTCGAACATTTTTGCAGACATGTAACGTTTTAATCATTTCTCTAAGGGTATTTCAGAAATAGATGTTTGCAGGATTGATTGCTGGCTGTGGCTGTACGAATACATTCTTTATTTTCACTAAAAGCCACTTGTCATCTACGTATGAAGTTGAAAAGAAACCCTTCTAAAAATCTGTGATAATACAATTCAGCTACAAAACTAAAAGTAGACTTTTTTTTCTTCATTTTGCCTGTTAAACGAAGTACCATCTTAAACTAAGGGGGTGTTTACATGACACCGGGGCGAGTTCACTCCGCTTCCCTCTCATGGCTCTATATTTTTTTACATGACACCACCACAAAATGTCGTGCCGGCGCGGTTTCATAGGCGCGAGTCACCCTGGTTGTTGTACCGGGGCGAGAATTTCACTCCGGTACGAAATCTCGCAACGGTATCATGGAAACGCGAAACGACTACCCGTTTCGGTGTGAAATCGGTCTGCCGGTAGACTGGAACGGGTAGCGCGTGCGTAATGTTTGCGATTTTGAATCACACGTGTATTTTATCAACATGAACTGTACATTCAAATAACGAGATATCAAATGATCCTGTCATCATGTAAACGCGATACGAAATCAAAACGTCATCCCGGTATGAAACTCGCGCCAGTGCGAAATGGTTTTTATCAAGAGAGGATAAAGGGGACAGAGAAGGCATCTCCCATACACACCCTATTCCATAGGTAATTCGTCTCAAGTTGTTTTTAGAATCGGGATAAAGATACCTCGCGCGCTGCGTGGATGTTTCGTGGAAGTTTTGGATGACTAAACGCCGTGCAAAATGTCGGGCGAAAGGCAATGAAAGCGTAAAGAGATCGAGAGCATTTCTGAATATTGAAACGAATTGAGTTGGCGCTCACCTAGGAAAAGGGAATCGCTGGACTCTTTGACAACCCGTGAAATCAGTTTAACTCGAAGTTGTCGTAACCTCAGCTCTTTAATAAAATGAGAAATTTCGCCGGTCTACTGAAATCGGTCGTTTGTACAACAAAGCAAGTAGGGCGCCAAGTGTTATTTTTGTTCAATAATAAAAGACTAATAATAGAATAAATATCAAACCAGAAACTGCTCTCTTCAAACTGTAAATTATAAATGAGCCTGAGAGAATATTTAGTTTGTTAAGGATTTCCCTGCTGTACTGTTAGCTCCATACAAGAGAGGAAGGGCGATTATTTTTTAATTTCCGTTTCGCAATATCGCTTTCCGCGTCTTCGGCCATTTTGTTCTGCGGCAATTCGTGAAGGATGCGTGGCTCTGAGCGTGGGTCATCCACGCGGAACACGTTCGCGCTATGTGATTGGTTGTTGTCTAATCCCCCTTGGGATCTGTGGTCTTATAAATAACTCGAGACGAATTACTTATGGAATAGGGTGTGTATGGGGGATGCCTTCTCTGTTCCCTTTATCCTCTCTTGTTTTTATATAACAAAGTTACTTAGTCACAAAATGAGTGGCACCATGGTGGAGTGGTCTGGGAGTTGCCTTTTCGAGCAGATGAAGTAGATTTGACCCCTGGAGTGTTTTCTCTTCCTTTGCTGTATTTTTTATTAAGTTTTAGTTTTTTAATCCAGTTTTCCCCTTTGGCTTGTTTCCCTTTAATATTACTGCTGATCCTTTAAAGCGTTGCGAGGTTTTTAGGATACCGTATTTTTAGTAACCTTGGTTTCTTATGTTGTTTGTTTGTGGGCTTTAATTGTTAATTAATTAATTAATTATTAATTGTTTTTTTGAGTAATTGATTGTGTGGTAGTGTTCATTGCTCTTTAAGTGCTAATTGCTTATAAATTGTTGCTTTTTGCTCAATCCTTTGAGGTTGCTGCTGTTGCTACAGTTGTTTTGCTGTTGTCATATTGTGGTGTTGCGCTTGCAGACATTTTTGAAAACTGTTTGGTAGTTCGTTTAACATGAGGAGCCGCGTAAAGTCCCATTTCTAATTATCTTGAGTGACGGCTGCCATACTCAATTTCCTGTTAGAATTTTACCTCCGACCTCGTGCATGTTAGCAGGGGTCAGATTAGCTGTCATCGGTAGTGATCTTCACAGAGGCGATGAAACAATTCTAAATTTCGCAACTGTCTGTTAATATGGTTAAAACAATACTAGGCGGGGTCAATACATGTAAATAAAGTCGAGCGCGGTCTTTTCAACTATTCTCCGGATCGGATCAGCCCGATCAAGCCATCATTGTATGGAGTATATGTGGGTTACTTTTTGCCGTTTCCTGGTGGAGAATTTCTGGGTTGATTCACGATCAAAATCGCTTCCCTTAGAAGCGATCGGTATTTCAAGAACATTTAAACAGATCGGACAGGTTAGGAGAATTCAAGCTTCTCTTCTGAAAACCGGAGATGGCCAGCCTTCCTTCTTCACATTGGTTCAAATGCGAGGCCAATTCAGCCTTAGATCAGTAGGTTTACCTTGCGACACATTAATTCTGGTTTGTATAATGACTTGATTAATCGTAAGACTCCTTGAAGGTAAGCACAGTGTTCGATTTTTTTCCTTTAATTTATTTATTTCTGCTTCGAACATATCCGCGCCAAAACCTCCTAAATGCCCGCCAAATTTAATGTGGCGCTCCCGATCGTACAGCTCGTGTTTGGGAAGAAACAGGCCCAGCACAACTTCCACTGGAGGCAATTTTGTGTACAAAAAGTACCCTAATAAAGAGGTCGAAAAGCTCTATTAATTTCGTGCGACATTTTCTTGATAAACAAAGGAATGTGTTGAAAATTATAGACGTCCGTGTTTTATAATACACATACACACGTAGTGGCCAAATTGCTATATCTCTGATCTTTTTTCCCCGCGGGGGGGGGTACTCCCATATATGGGCTATATAGATACGTGCCGCGGAATAGGGTATGGTTTTTGAGGTTCTCGGTCCTTAAATAGGGTATCTTTTTTGGCCCTTTTGTTTCTGTGTCCCTGGTGTGGTCCTTAGATAGGGTAGCTTAATTGTATTATCTAATACTGGAGTGTGAAAACGCCCGCCTAAACGAACGGTTTTTTTAAAACTTGATGTATGTTCTTAAGTATTAACAAAATGATTTTGCAACAGAGGTTTAATAGCCGTTAAGCGGGTAAATACACGTAACGCCTCTTCAAGCCTCATTATTAATTAATAATATGACTGTCGTTCATTTAATTAACAGAACTCTCACAACAAAACTTAGCTTATTGAAATAACGAGTGATAGAAGGGTAATGTTTAGCGGCGATCAAAGTTCAATACGAATAGAACTCTTGTACGAATAATCCTGGCTGTAATCCGCTGTAATAAACAGACCGACTGTTCAATATGAGGTTCTCGTTTCTCGCTGTTACACAGGGCTGTTACATTTTCGATTTTCAGCACATGTAGTATAAAACTTGGGTATAAAAATGGAAGGCCAACGTAACAATGTAAATAAAATTAAACGTCCGTCAGGGTCTTGTAAAACTGTCCAGATAAAAAGACCAAATGGTTTTGTCATTAACAATAAACAGACCAGTTGACACGTGCTTTCCTGGTTTCCTGATTCTTGTGTTGCACTATTCAGCGAGAGTGATCTCACAGAAGAAACCACGACTACGAACGGTCTGAGCTAAATCTTCGGCCTCTTTCTTTTCCGTAACAATCTTGACCTTAAGTGGGACGTTTATTCCTCCTCCTAAGCGCCATCGTCCTTTTGGGTCATTGCATGGGCTTCCAGTTACGACACTGTAAGGTAGGCGTTGCAAATAATTTATTAATTATACAGTAGTTCTTTACTTATGTTTATGAAACAAAGTATATATAAACGGGACAATTCCCTGTATTGTTTGATCGAGATACTTACCACTGAAATCTTTTGAATGACCACAACAGGTCGACGAGGTCGCGCTCTAGATGACCTAGTTGTCCGCGATCGTTCGAAATCTTAAACGCCCTTCCTTTATTGCCGAACTTCTGCATGGCCAAAAATTGCTCTCCAATTTCGACTTGAAAAGTGCATTCATGGTAGCCTTTAGCGTCACAATGGATTTCAACCGTGTAGAAAGCATCGTTTGTGAGAGAGCGGGAATCTGACATCATTATACAACTCGCACAACCCCGGGATACAACCAAAAAGCGATATCTTTTGAATCAAGACCCCCAGTTTTCGCCGGAAATAAAGGTTAATGTATTCACGGATAGTTAATTTTTCCCTTTTCATGTTACGCAATGCTACAGGGAGCAGGGGAGCCAAATTTGAGCTTTGCGAATATTAAATATTCGATGTCAAACGTGGTCTTACGTTGTCCAATCTTTTCGTTTAGGCGTTCGTGACGCTTAAGCCCACTGGGTATAGCATTCCGTTCATTACTCAAATCTACTAGGAAAGTGTATAAAGCTTGGGACAAAGCTCTAATTCCGAACAAAACAAAGTTCCCCAAGGTGTGCAAAGTGCACGATACCTAACTCGATACCCGCTGGGCTTTAACCGCGGCGTAAACAAACGATCAGAAAACGTCAAACAAGCGCCACGATATAGATCGAATATTTATATTTTAGCTCCTCTGTTCACTGAGGCCAGCGGTACCGTTCTACCGGCAACCCGAAAATAGAGGATTGCTTTCTGCCTACGTGGTTTCTTGGGCCTTGTTCTGCCTTGTTACTTGTCTGAAAGAAATTAGTTCCGCACCTAGCAACAATGCCTAGTGTAAAACAAACACATAGCCATTGCCTTATCTCTGTCGACTTTACTCCGACGAACTACTTAAGAAAACCTTAAGAATTTCGTTTTGTTGCGTTTTGCTAACTAGGACGTGAACGATAAAGAAAGATATAATTAATATGTGGTTTACAGGTCTCTATACTATGGGAAAGGACAAGCGGGGTATTGAAAGAGGACACTGCATTGAGTGTGAATGCGACGAATATGAAAGTAGTGCGGTACGATGCGATTATTGTGGCCACACACCTATGAGTCATGTTCCCTTTGACCCTAAGAGGCCAAGATATGACGCGACACGGGGTGCGACACCGAACAGAGAGGTATCTGTGGAAACAAATACAGTTTCTTTTTCGGTGGTTAAAGGAGATGGGCCTCCACCTGTTAAAGAAAGGCTCGACGAGGGATTAGCCAGAGAGGGACCTGAACAACTGACAAACGCAAACGATACACCCGCAGCACATCAACCGGAGAGGGCAAGCCACGGCGAGGAGTTTGCCGAAAAGGGGGCAGATGCCAGCGGCGCAGAGCCCACAGAAGAAGCATCTGTCATAGAGGTTGATACGAGTGGCGATGATGAGGTCGTTCGCTTTCAGAGGAAAATCGACGCCGTCACAAAAACCAGACGATTCGTTATCAGCAAAAATAACGGAAAGCTTTTCGCATTTTGTAATGTGTGCAGTGTGAATATGGTTGCCGGAAAAGAGCACAAGGGCCAGGATATGTTCCTGATTACCCAGCATATGGCCACTGCAACACATAAAACTAATGAAGCCATTTGTCTCTCACACGAGAGCGAAATTCCCGCAGCGATTCTCGAAGTACAACGGCAAGTAGAAGACAAGTACCCGCGCGTATTTTCCTTTACCAAGGCCTCCATATTGTGCCGTGCCTGTAAGGTTGAGTTCTCTGCCACGCACAAAGTCGTGTTAAGTAACATCAGGCAGCACATAGACAGTCGTGGCCACAAAGAAAAGACCGGGAAGACAATGGCAGCAAGTTCAAAGGATATTTCATCCTTTTTCACCCGCAAGATTCCTGCTAACAAGGAATGATCACGACCAGCTAAACAGCTGTGCCAGGGATTTTACAAAGAAAAGTTATCTTATGTAAATAATGGAGAAACTGTCGAAGTAAACCCGAAAATTCTTTTGCATGACCTGAAACCAGGAGAAGATAAAGGGAATGTGTCGTGGTACCCGGAACCTTTCTTTGTTTTAAATGAAACGGGGCATGAGAAGACAACAGGAACATTTCGAAGTAGTAACTGTTTAAGGGCAGCAGATGCAGGAACATTTACGGACGATATGTGTTCAGCTTGTTCGAATATACCCAAATTAGAATCATTCAGAAAAAGAATCCTGCTAAGAAACGAGAAAACTAGCCAGGAAACAAACAAACGAGACACGACAAGTATACGTAACGAATACCTGACTTCCAAGGAAATGGTGGAAAAGCTTAAAGAACAGAAAGAAAAACTTGATCATAAGAATGACCAGCTTTTCTTCGCAACATCTACCGCAATTAGGTTACGAATACGCGCTGGAAGTTTAAGAGACAAGTTGAGGGAATATTCCCGTAGGGGGTCTGTTAAGGCTATTTGTTTCAAGTTGCAGAGAGCTGCAGATTTAGGACTACTAAATGACAAAACCACTCTGATGGCAATGCTAGAGACTGTTTCGCGGAATCTGCACGTTGAAAAGAATGGTAAACGGTACCGCCCTTCGTTTAAGTTATTCTTGGAAGTTCTTCTGATGTTGGGAGGACCCAGAATCGCTACATTTGTGGCAATAAACTTGGGAGGCCCAGAAATACATTCCATCTACCGGTGGCGCAATCAACATCGTGTTGACATAAGTGGAGGGATTCAAGAAAGCAATTTAAAGAAACTTGGGCCACTGTACAAAGAAGCCATGGCTAACATCACTTCCTCTTCTGTACCTGTCCTAGCTGCAGAGGATGAGACAGCCATTATTGGCCATGTAACTTACCACCAGGATAGAGATGAGCTCGTGGGATTTTGTGGGGTTAATGGACAACACCATGCATGCCTTGACCATTTTGCTGTTAAAGTTGAGGATGGCGAGGAAGGTTTCAGGAATATTGTTAATGCCTTCAAGGAGTACAAGATCGGTTCTTTCGGTAGGGCAATATTGCTTAACCCACTCCATCCAAATCTTCCCCGCATTGCCGTCCTGGTTATGCCCACCTGTAACAAGTTTGACCACCGCTTTGTCTATCGACAGTGGCAAGAAGTAAAGCGACTTTATGACCAGGAGTTAAAGGACATCGTGGGTCCCCTGATCGGTAACAGTTCTGATGGAGACTCGCGGAGGCGGAAAATAATGCTGCAGCTCGCCACGGTCGATGTCGGTAACAGATTCAGGCCCATTCCTCGAAATCTAGGCTTTATTTTTTCTTGCAGAAAACTGGACACAGACGAGAATGGCTATCATGTTGAGGACATGTGTGATCAAGATTACGTTCACAACCACAAGAAACTACTCAACCCCTTGGATCACGCAACCCGTGTGCTTAGAATGGGCGAGCATCTTGTTCACATGAACCATCTACAATTAGTCAGCGAAGTCTTTCCTTTCGCCGATCATGGTTTGGGCGTAAGTGACATCGAAGGTCGTGACAGACAGAATTGGAGATCTGCTCAGAAATTAACATTTCCAAAGGTACAAGAATGTCTCGAAGCCTTGATTAATGGAACAGTACCTGGACGTCCTCCTAATATCACGCTATTGGGAACGAAGACGTATCTTCTAATCATCTGGTATTACGTGGAGATCTTCTGCAGCTCTGTGGCATCATTAACCAGTAGAATCAAGTACGCAGCCATCGTTACGCACTTCCTTGGAATTTGGCGGAATTTGTGTCTATCGACACAGGAACTTGAAGCTTTCAGTGAACTTTATCTCCAGAGAGACCTACACAGATGTCATTTTATCCTGTCATTTTGCAGTGATGCTTATCGTCTACATGAGAGACAACTTCCCTCGGGAGGACTGTCGACTTGACATAACTGGATCCGATGTGCTGGAAGACTTCTGGAGTAAGAACGGCCAGTGGGTGGGTAACCACCATAACTACACCTTCGGAGATTTGAGACGCAATACTTCACACATGATTCGTTTAGAGGAGATTCGCGTGGACCCATCCGCTCCAGAATTTGCAAAGCCGCATCCCAAACAGGAGAGTATCTGGGGACAGCAGTACCCACGACCGTTCAATATGGCTAATCTGAAGGAGTATCCGGCCATTGGCGAAGAAATAGAAGCGTGGAAGCAAGGAATCAAGATTGCAAGAAGGTTGGCGAGGTCCGTTGGAATGATACCTACCGTTAGTGCTCAAGATGAAGACAATAACGATGATGACAATGACAACGATGGTCATCAGGGAAGTGAAAGTGTTAGTAACTGTCTGGATAACGATGGCCAACATAATGAGGCGAATGTAGGTGATGGCGACTATTGGTTTTACCGTCCCTTTGAGTGCTTAGGGAACACATTCCGTTCCAACCAGGACGAAGACGATGAAGACCCCGACTGTTCGCCTGCCTCTTGTGACGAAGAGGATATCAGTGCTGGAGGTCCTACAATTTCAGGTAAAGCAACAATTTACCAATACAGCCTTATTTATGTCCACTTTTAGAAACTGTCAAACCTATGAAAAATTAATATTAACGGTACTTTTCGTATGGAAACATTTAATCACAGGCACTGTTGTATTGTTTTCAGATGAACTGCAGCCACTTTGTGAGGGTCTAGATGATGTGCAACCACTTTTTCATGGCCTAGGGGAGCTTGATTCAGATGAGCTGTCGAATGCTGAAGCGTGTTTGCCTAACCAGGGAAAGATTTCTCCCAAAGTTGCCATTCCTGGTAGGAACGAAGAAGTCTACAAGGCAACGCTGGTTTCTCCATTAAATGAGGATCCACAATTATCTCACGACAGGTATTACTTTGAAAATTATTCTAAACATTGGGCGACACGGTTGTGTTATAAAACAATTGTCAGTTAACAATCACAGCATTATAGATTAACAGAATAATAAGACAGAATTTGTATTTTTTGTTGCCTTGTTTGTTACAGATTGCAAAGGGTTCGTCAACGCCAAGAATACAGAAATTCGGGAGATGCACCACATCCTCAGGATGCTGACTCTAGTAGAGTTGCTTTGTTTAACGATTATGCAGTAGTGGACAGACGAAACAAAACATATGTGATCGGTAGCCTTGTCCGTCTTGTTCGTGTTGGAGACCATGGCCGTCAAGAGTATAAAAGACCTGTGGCATACAATGACCCGAAGAAAGAAAGTATTAAGTGTTTCTTCCAAGCTTACAATAAGATTGGACAGAATTCTTTCGAGGTTTCTACGGCCAAGGTTGTTGAATTCCCATTCACCGATATCCTGACGCATGTTAACCTGGCGGTCTCCGATGCAGGCAATACCCTCGTTATCCCTGAGGAGGAGCACAGGGAAGTCCAGCAAAGCGTGGAGAAAGTGTTTGAGCAACGGCGATCAAGGAGGACTATCACGACCGCTTTAGGATCTCTCTCGAGCACAGCACACGATGGGTTCATCGGCAGTGACGATGGAAGGGTGGTAGTTCAAGTTGAGCCAGAGCAGCAAACCGAGGGAGGCCCGCGAAGGTCCACCAGAAGACGCCACGCGATTGTGTACGATTCGTAAACTGCGCATATATGTTTAAGTACGATATTAGGAAAATCACGCGAGAAAAATTAACCCATCAAAAATGCATTAGGCGCCGCTGCAAATCCTCACGTGCAAATCGAAATTCAAAACTTTGCGAGGATATCGCCGGAAATCTTTTATTTCGTGCATTTGCAAAGTTCAAACAACCCTTATTGTACATGCGCGTTCAAAATCTGCGAGTTTCCAAATATGGTACTTAGCAAAATTGAATATTCTAACGCTGTGAACGCACGTTACACGTTTAACCCCTTATGGGTTTCTGACAGTGTATTAATGTAAATATTTTACTCAATGTACCAAGGAGTATTGTATATATTCTAATCCTTTTGAAGTATACACTTCAGGGTATCGTTCCTTTTATTGAAAAGGGCGGAGGTTGATTAGAACTATGGAAAGCCTAACCTCCACAAGAATTGTTTTTCATTTATTTGTATTCGGTTTTTAGTTCCGTTAGCTTTGTTCATC